GCATAGGCGGCCAGTACTGAGTGGGCACTCACTCATGAGGGCAGTGCTGCTAATCCTGGTCAATCTAAACCCCAGCATGCATTGGGGTCATGCCCAGTCTGGCAGTATACTGTAGTACAGGACAGCCTGGTACAGCCATGGGCAGTGCTAGCACCCAGGGGTGAAGTTCAGTGTCAGCTCTCTACGCAGCATGTTTTCTACTTCCTATATTGACTGGCCGACTCTCACTGTAGACACAGCTGGATTTCCTCCCCCAGGATTTATAGGTCAGTGCAGACCCGCGGCCTCTAAGTTACAGATAGCTGTAAGAGAAAAAATAAATAAAAAAAACTTTAAATAAAATGTCCCAATTTAACAGCTTCCTTTCACTGTCCCAGCAACAGGCAGGAAGTTTTACCCGCCCCTATCATCCACCCGGACATATTCTGCACCCACCCCTTTTATTTCTGGCTGCAGTTCCAAGTAGAAAACCACATTTCATTCTGCTACAATTAATTGTTTAATCCTTCCATATTTGATATATGCTCTAAGGGGGCTGGTTCACTAACCAGTAAAATGTGATACATTGTTTGAAAACAGAGTTTGCTAAATTCTGCTGCTCACCTTCACACTCAAATGGGTTTCAGTGGAAATGTACTGCTCAAACAGTGAATTGTAAGCCAGATGGCAAAATGTAGGTTAAAACTGGAAGAGAAGGAAAACATTTTCAAACACAGGGTGATTATTTTAGCTTGAATTTTGTAATTTGAGTTCTGTTTAATAAAACCATTTAAGGTTCTTAACTAAAGTGAGAACGGTCAGCAATTCAATGTGAATTTCAAATTTAATACCAAAATACTGATCTAGTCTGGAAGCATCACAGACTTGGAGAAGTTTTTCATTTCGGTTATAAATCGGCCTCAAATTTAAAATTCCTGACAACTGAAAACCGACACCAAAATAGTTGAGCTGAAAATATATCTAAAAAAAAAAAAATATCTTCCGGTTTATTTATTTTGGGATACTGCTTGAAATTACCTGCTGCATTTAGCAATTAAGTTTAGTCAATAACCTAAACAGGTTTTTGTTTTTTTAAGGTTTTTAAATAAGTTACCAAAAACTTTCCTTTGGTTAAATCCAGAGATTTTTGAGAGTGACTGTGTGATTTGCACTTACAATTCCTGATTTAGAAAGGTTACCAGACAATGTTTTTTTCTTACAATATCTTTGATGCTGATGGGCAGTACATTAAATCTGCTGCCTTACATTTAATTCATATGTTTTAAGAAGGCAGTCCAACTCTGACAGGGTTATTCACAAAAGTTATAAATTGTCGGGAGTTCAAAGATTTTGAAAATTTAGGTCAAAATAGTCCAAAAAAAAAAAAAAAAGGCAAATTTGTTTTCGGTTTGGATATTTTAGCCCTAAATTTGAAATTCACTTACGTTTTCTTGTGCATAAGAGCATTTCTGGGAAACTCCCACCCGGCGTAGAATGCTCTCCCCAACTATACCTTCAGATCCAGTACGATATTTAGCATACCGCATTACAAAAATAAAGTGTCTCAATCCTCATTTTCCTACAGAGCACTGCAATTATGGAATAACCTCAGGGACACAGTCAAATCTTCATTCAATCTAAAATCTTTTGCGAGATCTATGCCAACATACCTTAATACAGAATGCACCTGTCATGGTTAACTATAAGTGTTAAATTTTATATGTGTGGATATGTGTGTATATATATATATATATATATATATATATATATATATGTTTGTAATATCTTATTGTAACAATGTAGTGTTTGTGGGTCCACAACATACTTGAAAACAAGTAACCTACCTTCCTGGTAAAATATTTTATAAATAAATACATTTCCAGGAATTCCACTTTACTGAATAACCTTATATGCACTCCTGGTTGCAATGCTTATGGATTCTCAGTGGGATAAAGGTGTGGATC